TTCCAATTTTAGTATATGTGCTGCCGAAGCGAGCACAGGCTAAAAGAACGGAAGAAAAAATCCAAGCCTTGAGCTGCAATGGTGAATTAGTTCTATGGATGAAACCGAATGATGCAGGAAGCAGCAAAAGATTGAAGGAGTAGACAATACCAAAAAGAACTGGCCAGAGCGCAACCACTGCGGGAGGCAGATCAGGAACCAATGGTACTCAAAGGGGGAATCCAGTCTGCACTGGAGGTGGTGGTGAAAAATAAGACTCTAGGGGCTGACTGAGTAGGATTTATGTTTTAACAATCTAATGCAACCTTGAAAGAGCTCACCTATCTATGAGGAAGAACTTGGAAGAGAAGTACCTGGTCATTTGACTGGAAGAAGTCTCTCTTGATGCCCACTCCAAGGACAAGTGGTACTACAGAAGGTGGAAGTGATCAAACAATATCACTAATGGCGCGCGCGTGCGCGCGCACACACACACACACACACACACGTAAAATCTTACTCTTGGTTATTTCTAAATGGCTCGAGTAGTACAATGACAGGAAACTGCTAGGAAGTCAAACTGGATTAAGCACAGGTTTTGGAAGGAAGGCTATCATTGCTGACTTCTGACGGTTATGGTTGTTGTATGCCTTCTAGTTGGAACCCATTCACAGCTGACCCTCAGTGGGTTTTCAGAGGCCGTAAGTTGCTTGGGTAGAGATTGCCCTTGCTTCTCCTGTGAAGTAGCTGGTGAATTTGAACGATTGCAGCGCAGCTTCTCACCACTGGGCCACCATCTAGATGTCTGATAGATTTTGGCTAAAAGTAAAGTGAATTAGAAAGATATTTTCATGGTTTCATTGACTGGGCAAGGCATTGAACTGTGTAGATCACGATAAATTATGGACACGGTTGTGAAGAATGAGAATTCCAGAACACTGTGTTCATGGGGAATGTGAACACAGACCAAGAAGCAGTTGGTGGCATGGAACACGGAATAGTGCATGGTTTAAAAAAAGGAAAGGTGTCTCAGATTGCAACTGTTCACGAGATTTATTCAATATGTACTCTGAGCAAATAATTCAAGAAACTGGACTTTGCAAAGAAAAATGTGGCATCAAGATTAGAGGAAGACTAATTGGCAACCAGCAATATGCAGATGAAAGAATTTGTTGAAGATGAAGACTTGAAGCATATACTTCTGAAGTTCAAAGACTATATCCTTCATTATGGATTATACTTCAACCCAAAGAAAGTAAAAATTTTCACCACTGGACCAATAAATGCTGTGGTAAAGGGAAAAAAGACTGAAGTGATAACGGATTTTCTTTTACTTGGATCCACAATCAATGTCCCTGAGTGCAACAGCAAAGAAATCAAACGACATCTTAAATTAGGCAAATTTGCTGCCAACAACCTCTTTAAAGCACTAAGAGCAAGGATGTTATTCTAAGGACTAAGGTGTGTCTCACTCATGAAATTGTCAGTCACCTCATATGCATTTCTGTGCATGGAGCCTGGTGGTGCAGTCAACCAACCAAAAGGCTGTGTATTTCCAGGAGTTTTAATCTACCAGCAGCTCCAAAGGAGAAAGATGGTCAGTTTTTTCCCAAGAAAATCAGAAAAGAAACATAATTTTATTTTTATATATTACCTTTCCCTTCAGACATGCTAATGCGTGTTTATTTATGGACCTCTGGTGGCTTAGTGGTAAAGACTTGTGCCGCCAACCCGACGCATGTGGTTTGAATCACCAGCTGCTTCTCAGAAGAAAGATGGACAGTGTCTCCTCATGCGATTCACTGTCTCTGAAATCCCACGGAGGGTCAGCTCTGAGTCAGTTCCAGCTCCACAGTACATTACAACAACAACAACATGTGTTTATTATATGTTTACCTCCCTCTCCCTCCCTTCTAATTTCTGGTACCTATCCAAGAGTAACATTACCTGAGGCGGGGAGCCTTTCTTGAGCTCTTGGTAACAGGGATCTTACACGATGTCTGTCCCTTCGTGGCTGGCTTCATTTATTCAGCGTCATGTCCTCTGGGCGTATCCATGTTAGGCAGTGTTTTGAGAATTATTTATTGTGTTTCTAGTGTTGCTCAGTGCTCTGTGCTAAGGAAGCGATGTATCACAGCTCCTTTATCCAATCATCCTCTCCTGGATGCTCATGTTACTTCCATCTCTTTATTGCAGCCAATAATGCTGCTAAAATTTTGGTAAAAAGTAAACACCCTAAGACCTATGGAATGTTAACTTAAAAGTATGTGAGGTGTACATGGACACAGGGAGAGAGCTTTCAGAGGCTATAAACTGCATGGAAGGAGATTGTTCATTGTTCTCGTGCAAGTCACTGGTGGATCTGAACTGAGTGCCTTTAGATTGGCAGTAAAAGTCCTTAGCACAAGACCATCAGAGCTCCCTCATGTGTACACACACACACACACACACACACACACACACACAGAATATATGGTCAGAGAGCTGAGAAAGCCTATTGTAGGCCACATGCTCCAGAGCTGGGGGTAGAGAACCAGAGGTGGGCATCTTCTCTGGTGCCATCCTCTGCCAGCTGGCTGGGCAGGGCTCTGGTGTGGCTTCCTGTGTGCACTTCTGTGGTGTTGCCCCCTGAAGGTAAGCATGCTGAGGGAAAGGATCTCATCTGTTTGGGTCATTACCAAGTCCCCAACATCTATGACAATGCTGGTGCTCTGTAAATATTGGAATGACCAAATGGCAAACACTTGATGGAGCTCACCCTCTTTGCCAGCACCTGTACTACATGCTGCCGACACATTCCCTTTTCATTCATCCCCATTTCAGAGGCAAGGAAACTAAGGTACAGAAAGGATACACAATCCGCCTAAGGTCACTGAGCGAGGAAGTGGTTGATGGGGACGTAGGATTCTCACAGGAGCTTTTAACCACCACGCCTTTCTGGAGAGGTTCTGCACCTCTGGGGTCTGAGGCTCCAGTGGGAGCCCTTGGGGGCTGCTCCATGACTTAAAATCTTTCACACTACGTTGAACAGCCCTCACCATCCACTTTCTCCTCCTAAGTGGTTTCCCTTCTCTCTTTTCTATTTAATATTTAAGTTGCACACAGCCTGGGACATCCCAGAGTCCCTGGGTTACTGACCTACTTACTTACCCAACCATATTTCTCACACACGGAGGGCAGCAAGGGGCAGCACGAGGTGCCGCTGGAGGAAGTGAGAAGGCAGGACCGTGGGGAAACACTCTCTGCTCTGAGCAGTCAGTCCCCAGCTGAAAACAAGCCAACATTAATAAAACGAGGCCAGATTGCTCAGCAGAGGTGCTGCCAAAATGGAGTTTATTCTAGCAGCTTTCCAAGAAAACAGTTCCTTTTCCTTGGGCTCCCAGAAGGCCCCCAAAGCCCCAGCTATATCAAGAGACATGCATTCCTTTCTCTCTGTTTCTATACTTAAACAAACAGGGCCAGGAGCTCAGAACCATAATCCCCAGAGACATCAAGATCAACAGACACAACCCAGACAAACACACAGAATGTGTTCTATGCCCCACTTTGCTGAGAACTGGCGAGGGTCTTAAAAGCTTACTAGCAGCTGTGTAAGGTGTAACTATTGGACTAGCAGCTGTGTAAGGTGTAACTATTGGTATCTTCCCATTTGAAACAAGAAGAGTGCAGAAAACCACAGACGATCAATCCAAAAGGCTTGATGAACCACAAGAACGTCAATCTCCATGATCTTGAGACCAGAAGAGCTAGAAGGTGCCTTGCTAGCGCTGCTGGAGCTCTGAGAGGGATCGCAGAAGATTCCTCATAAAGTGAGGGAAAAACATGGACAAAATTCTAAATCATTTAACAAAGAGAGTGGCCAGGCTTGCTGGTCTGATAGAGACCGGTGGAACTGTCGAGCCTGTAACTCTTCCTTAGTCATACTTGGAGCCTGGACTCAAAACCAACCCCCTTCACTCTACTTTCCGTCAAACAAGCATGAACCAAAGGTTCAAACCACTAGTGACTTTTCAGGAGAAAAAAGGGCAATCTCCTCCTGTGTGATTTATAGCCTCAGAAACCCAGTCAATAGAAAGGCAGCTAGGAGTCAATTCTGACCCAACAGCAATGAGTTAGAATTATAGTGATGCGATCACCAAGAGTGACCAGGAGGGATGCATTGCTTAGAACAATCAGGCATTTGAGATTGTTTTATACACCACAACCAACCAAAAGGACAGCATTTGCCCTGAGAGAAGGCTCAGAAGAGACAGGAAAGGACAAGTGGAAACACAGAGATGAAGTGGGAAGAGTGCTGTGACAGTGTGAAGACTGTAACCAATGTCAAGAAATAAGGACATGACTTTCTGAGACCTGCACTCAGCAAAGGAGATAAAGCCCTCACCCCCGCCCCCAACTCCCATTATGGGGTGATGCTAAGAGGTGTGTCAGCTTGAGAGGTTCTGAAGCCCCAAAGTCTCAGACGGAGGAAGTGGGGGAGGCCTGTAGGGGGGCTGGGGGAGAGTTGTCGTCCAGGAAAAAGTTTGTCTCTAACGTTCATTATCTTCTCCCTTTGCCCTGGTGCACCCACCTCAAGGTCTTCAGTAGCCCCCAAACTGCTTTGGCCAGAGGAGCGCAAGGGTCCCTACCCCCTCCCCTTAGTCCCCAAATTCTTCATAAAGCCCCTCACTCCTTGTCCTACATACTGTATCCCCACTGTGTTACAGGAGCAAGGGCCAGGTTTCGGGTGTGCAGGGCTGTGAGAGGGTCTGACCCAGCCGCTTCCTAGACCAGAGCGCAGAGCGAGCAGGTCGACTCAAGATCTGGGCGTGGGTAGAGGCTGCCCCTCCCGCTTAGCGAAGGCGAGGGCGGGCAGAGACGGGGCGCCCCAACCCCCGGCCCTCCCCAGCAGGCCATGACGTCAGGGCCAGACCCCGTAAACAGCAGCCGTGAGCTCGGGGCGGAGACTGAGATCCGGACTCGCCAGACGGGCGGTGGTACGGGTTGCGGGTGCCCAGGACTCCAGCAGCCGAGGACGCAGGCGACCCCGAGGTAACGTCGAACCTGCTCCCTGCGCCAGGGGACGAACGCCCCCCGGGAATTCGGGAACAAGCGGGCCTGGGGAGGGTATGGAGGGTCCCCAAACTCCACACGTGGGGCTCCCGGGTGGCTTCTGAGAGCGGGGCGAAGGGCGCACAGCACATTGCGCTCAGCAAACACGTTTAAGAATCAGATCGGGAGAAGGGGCGGCTGCGGGCCGGAACCAGGCAGCACCTCGCAGGTCCTAGGTTCGGTCCCCGACGGCGCGGATGGGGCGCGCGCAGGGCCAGGGAGAGTGGAGGGGGCAGGTTGCTGGCGTGCGCGCCTCATCGCCTTCCCTTCTGCATCTGGGGAGGTGGGGGCGCTGGGGGCCGAGAGGAGGGGTGACCCGCACCCACCGCGCCCTCTCCCCGCGCCGCGCCCGCAGCCGGCCCCGAGCCATGGCCCTGAGTGAGCTGCCGCTGCTCCGCTGGCTGCGAGAGAGCCGCCACTCGCGGAAGCTCATCCTCTTCATCGTGTTCGTCGCGCTGCTGCTGGATAACATGCTGCTCACTGTTGTGGGTACGTAGGGCTGCGCACCCCGCTTCCGATCCCCGGTCCCTGTGCCCGAGCCCTCCCCCAGCGCGCCCTGCCCGCCCGCTCAAAGTTGGAGGCGCTGCAGAGATGCGCCCTGGAGGCTCTGCGCCCCGGCTTGGTGGCTTGGTTTCCTGGTGGTCAGGTCAAACATGACTTCCGATAAGACAAGACCCGGAGCGAGTGTTTCCTCTCGATAGTTCTGCCTTCCCCTTGCCCACTGTACCTTGACGAAAGAGATTTCTGCGAAGGAGAAGCCGTTTCCAGAGTGCAGGATCCCGCTGTACTGATTGTTCCCCAAAAGGGGGGTTGACTTGGGATCACAAAGAACCATCTACATCCCTCCCTCCAAAAACTGCGTGCCAGTCGCAAACACTTAGGACCGATGTCAAGAGCAGTTTGAAGTGTTGGTCTTCTTCAAAGAGTGGATTTTTCAAAAATTACATCATTGAAACCCAGATCTTAATTAGCTCTATTAACAGCAAAGTATATGTTTCACATTCTTTTCCTTACAAATATACGTTGTTGTTGTTGTTGTTCAATGAAGGGGGGAAATGTCATTTGGACTTAAAGTGGGTGTAAGACTTAACTCCCTTTCCCTCCGTTTGGAGGGAGGAACAGGCTTGATTTTCAGAGCAGCAAATAGGTTTTCCCTGAAAGGCGTGTCCAGGCCTGGGGACACATCCTGCCCAGTGACAATGTCCTCACATCTCCTTTGTCCTAAAAGCTCTGTAGTCACAGGTGTGCCCAGATTGTTACATTAAACAATGCTGCTTTTTGTTGTTGAAAGTCTTGGGCATTCATCAGTCTCCTAGGTTGTGAGAAGGAAAAAAAAAAAACCAAACAGATTCCCACTTGGGAACTGTCGTTGTCTGCCATTGAGTCATAGCGACCCTATGTACTTAGGAACTAGACAGATGGATCTGCCTGGTGCAGGCTTTCCGAAACATTACTTCCTGTGGGTTATCATTTCCTAAGACACATAATAAAATTTCTGTTGCTGTTTTCATTTAAATGTCTTTGGAACCTTTTTTTCTGAGGAGCTCAGATTGAACCTTAGGTCAGAACTGCCTTGGCCTCAGACTACTCAGTGTTTCTAGAATATTCCTGTTGAAGGAATCCTTTGCTGAGGACCCACTAAATGCAGGAGGGGATCTGTGGGGCTGGGGTAGTTGGTAAAATAACACTCCCTACCCGTGGAACTCTTCTACTCAGGGCTTGGTCTGTTGGGTGAAGCTGATCGAATGTCAGCTAGATTTCATTCCAAGTGCTGGGACCCATTTCCGGGGTACACATGCCTCCACCCTGGGTCTCATTTGGCGTTTGATGTGACTGCACTTTATTGCTCTGGCCCTAGAGGGCCTTTGAGGGTGACCACCACTTACTGTTCTCTTGTCTCCAGTTCCCATCATCCCCAGTTACTTGTACAGCATTAGGCACGAGAAAAATGCCACCGAAATCCAGACTGTGAAGCCAGGGCTCACGTCCTCTCCCACGGGAAGCTTCCAGAACATCTTCTCCTATTATGACAACTCCACTGTGGTCACTGGGAATGCCACCGGAGGTCCACAGCTGGGACAGCTCTATAAGACCACCACGCAGCTCATGGTGACCAACACGTCCACCACCGCTCCTGACTGTCCCAAGGAGGACAAAGAGCTCCTGAATGAGAACGTGCAGGTTGGCCTGCTGTTTGCCTCAAAAGCTACGGTCCAGCTCCTGACCAACCCTTTTGTAGGGTTGTTGACCAACCGGTAGGTCACCTATGTGCAATCTAAAACTCTATGTTTTTATCATTACAAGTTCATTTCCCTTGAGGACTCTTGTTGCTTTCATTTATTTATCAGAATCCAGAGACTCGGTGTTGCAAAGAAAACCCAGTCTCACATCTTTGTCCTTAGCTGACTATGATCTTCCAGTTGGTCTCATCTTTTCGTCCTTTCATCTATTACTCATGAAGTAGGGAAATACAAAAGGAGACAGAAGAAGGAGAAGCCCGTAAAGTGGGAGAACTTCGTTTTGTCTCCATGTCAAGTTTTGGAAAGATCTTTGTGTGAATGACCCTTGGGAGTAAGCGTCCTGTAGATACCATGGCCATCATCAGACTGTATGTACTGTGAGACTTTCTCATTTCTCCCCCATTGGCTGTGTGCTTCCTTATAGAAAACCAGGTGGTTTGATGTTGAACTGGTGTGATGAGGGCTCCACTAGATGGCTAGCTGGGAAACGCTGGAAGAGACAAATTATGCTGGTGTGTAGGTGAACGGCTCACCTATTGTCAGGTGCCCACTGCTGTTGGACACTCACAAGGCTGTATAGGCACAGAGGACAGGAGAACTGAGGCTGTTCTCTGCATCATTCAAACTGCCCAAACTCGTTTTCTGTTAATCCGAAATACTTACCTTCTGACTATTGATGACCAGCCAGTCGGTTATTTGTGCTTCTGCAGCTGAAGTGACCCAGCTTTGCACTCCTGATATGTGGAGAACAAAGCATGGGACACGGTACATGTTCCAAGTGTTTGTGAATGAAAGGAGGAGGTAGTTCTCAATGATGAGAACTCTGCACAGAGCAACAGTTGGTGCCTGTGAGTGGTGGACTAGGAGGTGGGGGGCTGCTGTGTAGCTAACACAGCCCAGACACAGAAAGGCACGGAATGTCAGAGCAGGAAGTGTGAGTTCTATCGAGGAGCTCGATTCCAGAAGCATGAACAAAGACAAAGATGAGAGATGGAAAGAAAACACAGGATAGAAGATGTGGGAAGGGCTGGGCTGGGACATTGGTAGACTATCACAGAGTCAATTCTGACCCAGCACCCCTGCAGGAGAGAGTAGAACCTCCCTGTGGGGCGTTCAAGGCTTTAATCTACAAGATGGGATGAAACAGTGACTGTAACAATGGGTTTAGACTATCAGAGATTAGGAGGACTGCACAGGACAAGGCAAGGTTCAGAGCTGTTGTTCACAGGGTTGTTTTTAGTGATAATTGACTCAGTGGCACCTAGCAACAACAGTCCTTATTGAAGGAAGCACTGGTGGTTTGGGCAGTTTGATTGTTAGACTAAAGGCTCTGCCTCTCTGGCAGTTTGAACCCATCAGCTGGTCCTTTAAAGAAAGATGGGCAATTTCCTCCAATGTGATTTACAGCCTCAGAAACCCAATGGAGGGTCAGCTGTGCCTTGGTTCTGACTTGACAGCAGTGAGTTTGAGGTTTTCAGTGATACTCATGGAAGTAGATTACCACATCTTTCTCCCTTAGTATGGCTGGTGGGTTTGAACCACCAACATTTTGTTTAGCAGCTAAAGCCTTTAACCACGACACTACCAGAGAGCCTTGATTCTAGGAGGCCTCACTCTAATAGAGGAGTAGGGTTCGATTGTGGGGACACTCAGGAACTAGTGGTTCCAAAGCCATGTTGAAGACCTAGGAGCAGGAAGGCCTTTCCATTTATAGGTGACACGGTTTGTGGGAGCCAGTGCAGAATCATCCTCTCGTGGGCACCGCGCTTGTCTGTCGGGTTTGCATGCTGCTGCTTATGTAGTTTGTAGTGTGCTTGCTGGTTTCTAGATTGCTGTTATACAGCACTTGTCTGTCACTTCACTGGGCTGGGGTGACTTGGGTGTTGCTGTGAAGCTGTGAGCCACGCTTCTGGATTTCAAACACCATCAAGCCTCCCATGGTGGACACGTTTCAGAGGGGAGCTTCTGGGCTAAGACTAAGAAGCAAGCTTGACCATCTACTTCTGAACTAACAAGCCTTCGGAAACCCTATGAATCATAGTGGCATATTGTTAGATATAATAAGGTGCGCCTGATACAGGCCATGGTCTTTGCAATCACGTGCTATGTGTCAGAGAGCTGGACAATGACTAGGGAGGATAAAAGGAGAATTGATGCCTTTGAGCTGTGGTCCTGGAGAAGAGTATTGAATGTACCATGGACTGCTAAGATAACAAACAGGTTGATCCTGGAGAGGGTTAAACCAGGCTGCTCCTTGGGGGCAAAGATTCTAAAGCTTCCTCTGACATACTTTGAACATGTTGCAAGGAGGGACCAGTCCTTGAAGAAGGACGTCATGCTTGGAAGGGTGGAGGGACAGGCCAGGAGAGGAAGATCCTCTATGAGGTGGATTGAGTTAGTGACTGGGGTAATGGGGTAGGTGTGTCTGAGACAGTGTGATTGGCACAGGATAGAGTGGAGTCTAGGGCTGTTGTACATGGGGTTGCTATGAGTCACAGGCGATTTGATGGCACCTAACAACTACAACAACAAGCAGAATTAGAGCCCCTCAGATTGGAAGACCCTCAAAAATGAGAATTAGCTGCAAACATCCATTAACAACACTATTACTGTACTAACGGGCTCAAGCATATCGAGATTGTGAGGTTAGTACAGGATAGAACAAGGTTCTATATTAGGACAAGGGTTTCATATTATATGTTGTAGTTGACTTGCCAGCACTTAACAACAACAATGCAGAATGAGAAGTAGGACAACTTATTCCAACATTATTGCGAATTATTAAATACTATTAAGAATTCAAGATGGCGACAGCAAGGCATTAACTAAAATGTAAGGCCCTTCCAAGGGCAGAGCCCTGTGGGACTTCCTATTTTGCATGACCACGAGGCTGGCCCTGGAACCCGGAGTGGTGGCAGGGCTGGGAGAGGCCCCTGAGTGGTCCGTGGGGACATGCAGGTCCCTACAGGCTAGTTCATGGTCACTTGGCCGTGAGCACATTTTAAACAGCAGTTTGATTGTCAGGCTTGAGATATGCCAATGAGGCATGTTAACTATCCCTAACCATGCCTGGTCGTCTCGGTGGAGAGCAGCGTTTTAAGGTTCCACATAAACTATGCTTAGTAAAATAGCCAGTGAAGGCTGGCTGTGAGCCCTTCAAGAACCCCCATTACCCCTGTGACATTCAGTGGCTCTGCCATTCGCCAGGAGGAAGACCAATTCGACCTCAGTCATTGCAGAGTTGTTTTCTTTTTTCCAGACGAGGAACCCTCTTTACAGTGTTTCTGGTATAATTACAGAAAACAGCTCCTGGTTTTGCATTCTGAGAAAGCAAATGGCTCAGATACTGCTCGTGAAAATTGAGGACATTATCATAATAATGCCTTCCAATCGCTTGGGTGTGAATAGTACTGACCATACAGCAATACTTAGAAACTTGGCTGAAATGATGGGCGTACTCCAATCTTCTAAATGCAAATAGAAATTGAAAAGCTTAAAAAAAAAATCTCATTCTAGTCCTTACTGCTCTGCTTATGTCAAGGGAAAGCAGTTTTTTAAAAACCGGGGAGACCTTTCCCCTGCCAAATACTCCACACACTTTGTTAGGGGCTGGCACCATGGCTGGTGCTTGGAGCTCCAAAACGCCATGTTCCGGGAGGAAACTAACTCTGCTGGGTGACCTTGAGATTAGTCTGTTCAAATGGTCAGTAATCCACTTTGGAAGGGACCCACAGCAACATTTAATCTCCAGCTGGTTCCCCCAGCGAACTGCAGAAGGATTCTCATTCTTGTCTTCTGAGACTGTTTTGTAATGTGGAAATGCATGCAGGCCAAGTCAGTGTAGGCAAAACGGTGGAGTAAATGCGGCCCTGTGTGATGTGGAATTGTTCTCTTTTCCAAGCCAGGTAACGCAGAATCTGGGGGCTTTTGGTTCTTCTGTGTACACTTCGGTAGCCCTACCGGCACAGTGCCTTAGGTCAACACCTCCAGCCCCTCCATGGGAGAAAACTGAGATTGAGATTTACAACTTCAAAGAGTTGACAACAGGTTGTCACTGGTTGGAAGGAAATTGATGGTTGTGGGTTTCGGCTCATTATTGTTGAGGGCTCCAGACTCTGCTCTCCACAGTTCAAATGTGCACCAGGTACTCCAAGGGGGCAAGATGGGCAGTCCCTTCCTGTAAGGATAGACATCCTCAGAGACCCGATGAAGGGTCGCTGTGAGTTAGGGCTGACTCTGGGCAGTGGGTGTGGTGGTCTGTTACGTGTGCAGTGGCAACGTGAAAAAGGCTGAAATATCATGAAAACGGTAAAAAATGTGACAGACAGATGAAGTGAGCACATACTGTTGGAAAGATGACACCAGTAGACTGACTTCCAGTGAGATTGCCACAGACCTTCAATTAGTAAATAAATGCACTAGCCATGCAGCGCAATAAATAAAGCAGAAGTGCAGTGAAATGCTCACTCTGCATTCCTAACTGACCCTCTTGTGGGTTTCCAGAAATTACCCGTCTTTCTCCCAAGGAGCGGCTGGTGTATTTGAACCACCTTCCTTTAGGGGGGCAGCACAACTCACTAGTGCACCAGAGCGCCTATGTTGCCAGAGTTATTGCAAAGAAGTAATGGCCAAATCTTGCCTTGCTGGTGCCCAACCGGCTCCCTTGTTTGTACCTGGCCAGACCAGTTAGAAACCCACACAATAGTGTTAATTGCACTTTGTAATCAGTCATCAGGTGTAGGGGGAAACCAGCTTGGTCTTTAACCATCAGAGAAGGAAATTTTTTCCCCCTACCTCAGGATGAGACCCGATTCTACTTCTCGACATTTCACAGGGTTTCAGGTAGAGCAAGGAGAGTGTGCCTGTTTGACACCTGGTGCCCTAAAGTCTCAGGGGGTATCACTGAGAACCAGGCTGGCTGGAGCCGCACCGATATAAACCTCTGCTCGTAAATGAGCCAGGCTCTGAAACGAGTCATCCCACCTGGTGACCTCGACCCTGGTAATTACAATCAC